TTCTTTTCAGAAAGTCATCAGGTACATTTCTCCAACTGTAATTCACCAGCACAAAATGAATGTACCGAGTGTCCCTTCAATGACAGGCTCCTGAGGTTGCCGAGGCGATTCCTAATACGAAATTGTGGATCGTATACAAATTGTAGAAAAACTTATTCACCGAACAATGATTTCTAGCATTTCCTCTCGGTATATATTCATAATATATCAGTCAAATGGAATAAATTCGATCATGAATATACGAGGGCGTGTTTGAAAAAACGCCGAGCGTTTTGTTGAGTATGCCTCCGTTTATTCATTATAGAATTTGTTCCAGTTGGCTGATGAAGTTTGAGATAATGATTAAATTATTTTTGAGATAATGATTAAATTATTTTCAAATGATTGATTGATGAAGTGAAACTCGAATGTTTTTGAAAGAACAAATGACGAAGTCTTGTGAGGAGCAAACATTTTTTTTAAATTTTTATTGTTCCAAGATACAGGGTTGAAATTAAAAATGCGTTTCAACGAAGAGGACGACCAACAAAATCCAATAAGATGAGAACAACTCATCACATAACTTTTGTGACCTCCTAGAAAATATTGACTATACAGGGTGTTCAGAAAGGTCATGTCGTGGGCCAGAATAATGTTGGTACTTCACATAAAAAATATGTCTATCTCTCTTCGTTATGGAGCTATTGACCTTGATAGTTATAGAATAAAAAAAATTTCATGTAATCCGGTCAAACGATTGCCATGATAATCATGCATACTAATGCACCTCTCCATATGTAAACGATCTTTCGGTCATTATGTATCATACATTGGGATGGAACGATTTTTTTTCCAATGCTTTCACCGTTTGACCCCCCATCTTTTTTTCACAAAAATGGTTTACTTTATCTCAATTGATATCTCTTACCGAATTAGCGAAAATCGCATTCAAAACCATAAAAACATCCATCAAACCGTTTCAAAGGCCATAAAACATCATCATCAATGTATGGATAGGAATAATTATTGGCAACTGCTCATTTATTGATCTTATATCATTAATAGAACCTGAAATGAAAATAAATATTCAACTTTTTTGCAAGAACATCCAGATCCGTTTTGATACAAGAGGTTCTTTTGAATATTCGAGGTGATGAAAAAGCTGTGAAAGATCATTTGAACATCACATTTCCCTATGTTTTTATTTCTTGGCCACCTCGGTCACCTGATCTTGATCTACTTGATTTATTTCTCTTCAGGCTATCTTGACTGTTGAGTCTATAAAACACCTGTGAATATTAGGGATGAGCTTTTGGAACGAATTTTCACATCTGCACACGCCGTATAAGAAATGATCATCATCACGTTATTTCGAGTACAACGCAGATATTTAGACAACTTCAGAAAATGCGTTGACGTTCAAGATGCACATATTGAAAACCATTTTCGATCATCTTTTTGTCTCCACTGATGTCATTAATTAGGTAAATGGAGCTTTTATTACCTCTGAAACGGTTGGAATGTATGATTTTAAATCCGATTTTCTCTAGAACGGTACGAGATATCGAATGGAGTACAGTATACCATTTTTATAGATAAAAGATGAAGGAATCAAACGGTGGGAGCCAAATGTGGAATTTGTCACCCGTGTCAAAAATGCCTTTATAAACGAAAAAATCGGCCAATCCAGTACAAAACATATTCAGTGAAAAGCCGTTTACGTATGGAAAGGAGCATTAATATGAGTTTATTTACCTGCCCGAATTACATTGATACCATGGCAACCGTTTGAAACGTATGCACGAAATTCTTTTTTTTATTCTCACTTTCAACGAAGCACAACGACAATACCTTTCCGGACACCCTGTATATGCCAAAGATTGCTCTGCCATCTTGAAAAGTTAAACGATGTCCATGTCAATATGTACATGAGGATTTCATTCGAGAATTCGATCATTACTAATATCATTATCGGACATCAAGGCACATACGATTTCCTCGAATTTCCATGAATGCATCCAATGTCGTTTCGTACCGTTATTCGCTTTCCATAGCTGGCCTATGCAGATTTTCAATTTCCATAAATGTCACACTTAACCTATTCATCGCCATCCCCAGCGATAACGCCTCCAGATTAAAAACTTTTTGGATTTGTAGCGCATTCGCATGCATTCCCTGCGATAACGTTGCAGTTGAAACGCGGAACAATTATTATTGTGAACTTTTCATGAATTATTTTTACAGAAGAAAGCCAATTTAATCTCCAAGCCGAGGTAGAGTATTGCAATTCCAAACAAAAACAAAAGTTTATATGCCCAGATGTCTCCCTCGCCTCAGAGGCTCACGACTTGTAAGGGAATGGCAATCCCGAGGTACCCTAGCCGGATACTCATTTATCTTCAACTTGTCTTTGATGGTATCCTCTTCACTCTTCAGTTTTTAATCTTTTGTATCAACCTTTCTTGGTCAATTCTTCTTCTTTTTTCTTTTCTCCTAAAGTCCAACCTCTCTCACCATAGTGCGGAGAGGACAAGCCGCGGCTGCTCGGAGGATTGAGCATTTTGGGACAGATATGGGACAGTTTCCTGAACACAATAACTGCTCTAGAGCTGTCGTTTCCAAACAAGCTGCATTCCATCGATGGCAGAAGAATCCAAGATCTGAGACTAGAGCAGAATATATCGAGGCTATAGAGAAATATGCAATGAGAAAATTCGATCATCAAAGGATGCTCATAATGCCAGAATAAGATCAAAACTTGTTGAATGTCCTAACGGATCCCGTTCATTTTGGTCCTTCGCCAAAGCTGTAGGAAAAAACTTCACTTCCAGCTCGTTTTCTCCTCTAACCAAGGAATATGGAACACTAGCCACAACTGCCCAAGAGAAAGCCAATATATTAGCGCATTTATTTGCTGGAAATTCCACTCTGGATTCATCGGTAAAACAACCTCCAAACATAACGCCAATTGACAATCATATGTCCGAGATCACCTTTCGCCAACGTACTATAAAGAAGATTTTATTGGGTCTAAACACCAACAAAGCTTGTGGCTCCGACGGAATCCCCCTGATTGTTCTCAGGAAATGTGCTGCCGAACTAACATCTGTTCTCTGCAAGTTGTTCAACTACTCTTACCAATTGGGGATATTCCCGTTCAACTGAAAAATTGCAAGAGTACAAGCAGTTCCTAAGAAAGGCAAAAAGATTCTACCTAGCCACTACAGACCCATCGCACTGCTATCTATTGTTTCAAAGATCATGGAGAAAGCTATCAACATCGACCTCATGAAATACCTGGAACATTCAGGTATTATCAACGATAGGCAATATGGCTTCCGTCATCAGAGGTCAACTGGTGACCTGCTCGCTCACATCTTACATATATGGCAGCAATCTATTGAAAAATATGGTGAGTCGATCGAGTCTGGCACCACGGACTCCTCGCCAAGCTTCCATCTTATGGCTTGCCTTCCCAGCTATGTTCTCTGCTTGCTAGTTTCCTCCCAAACAGGTCTCTTCATGTAGTGGTCGACGGAGTTTCATCTTACTCTCTCATCATAAATGCTGGTGTTCCGCTAGGATCAATTCTAGCACCAACACTATTTTTCTACTCCATATCAACGATATGTTGAAAACAACTTCATGGTCAGTACACAGCTTTGCGGATGATAGTACCCTCCATACCACCTTCTCTTCCAGGGCTCCAATACCAGCCAGGTATATCAGAATCGAATCGAACGAGGGAGAAATGTTGACATCATAAATATGGACTTGGCAACAATTCTCGAATGGAAATCCGATAGCTTGATAGATTTCAGCAAACAAAACACAAGCATGGCTTTTAAATAGAAAAGCCGATCTCACTGTGCCCAACATAAGCTTGTCAGGAGTAACTATACCTTTGAAGACATTCATTTCGATGCTTGGTATCACTATCACCAATAACCTTGCTCGGGAAAATCACGTGAGAACAATTGCTAAAAGTGCATCCCAAAAACTTGGTTTTCTGTTGAAAGATGTTCGTGTTTCGATTTTACACCAAATAGTCTAAACATATATGGGGTGTTCCATTCGAAAAACTCGAGAAAAATCACTTTCAAAAGTTCAGAATTGAAAGAACAATTTATCCACCCTGCATAATTTTAGGGCATGAAAACTCTAGAGAAATATCACGCATCTTTCCATCAAATGATATCATCATTATCATCTCTTAAACTCCATAATTGTGATTACAGTGATTTTTTTCGGTATGGATCTGCAGATCGACAAAAAAATTAATAACTTTGAAATGATCGAGAAATAGTCAACTATATTATAGGAGTGGATGGAGGTCACAGAAATGCTTCAAAAAATGTACTAATATATAGGGCATTCCATTTAAAAAAAGTGATCCTGACCCTCTAGATTTTTTCCGGTTTCCCCTGTATATGCGGCAATAATTTCTAGTTACGGACCTTGTTGTCTCATTGTCATTCGTTTTTCAATAAAGTTTCTAGCTATCATAGTACTGGAGCAATCGATCTCCGACGCACTAATGTCCCACCCTGTATATAACATTTCGTTATCAGAGAACGGTCGAAATCTGCAGCCGGATCTCCAACTATAACTTACACGGTTACCAAGATCCTCATGTTGTTAATCCTTATCTTGGGCACATTGTATATCAGGCTACGTCACTGAAATCGTTGAGAATGCTTGGCATACGCCACTGGAGTCATCCAATTTCGTGAGGCATTACCTACAAAACGCAGGCTCTGTAGTGTAGTAGGCTCTAGCAAATCGACAAGAAGGAAAGAATAGGGAAATTCTGGTCACGGAATTGTTTGCATGCCGATACGTGAAGGCCTTTTGGCTTTCCCCAAAAATCCCACGCGGAAGAGATGAAACGAATTGTGAGGATATCGTATAGTAACTGTTTTCCACAACGATTCAAGCTTTTCAGCTCACTTTATCTATACTATGTCTCTATATATGTATATATGATATCTTACCAATCGGATTGCTTTCCATATAAGATGTCACTGGTACTTACCTGAAACAAAATAAAAATACTTCTAGAATTTCTTTGTATCTCAAAGTGAAGTATAGTTCGATTTCAAGTAACTGTAGACGTTTCCTTTATCAATTTAGATAGTGGCCCATGATTCCTTGTATCAATATGTTTTGAATCTTAGTAGGCTCATCTTCACCTATAACTAATTATGTCATTTTCGAATAGTGATTACTAATTCATTGCCATAGAAGTTTTCAAAAAAAAACATAACCTCTGAAAGTTGAAAAAAGCAAATTCTTATACCTTATCTTCCTATCTTTCCTTGGTACGCACGATTTTTCTCGAACATAAAAGGAATTTTCTTCCGTGAGCTCCAAAAGATGAAAAAATATGTCAGTATCGAATTGGATCCAAGAACAGAATTCGATGACAATGACAAAGTGCTTTAAAATTCGTTGATGTTAATCCCGTGAGCTTCATCGATTTTTCCCAAACATAATGAGGTTCCTTCACAATTTATAGAGGTAATTAATGGATGAGTTTTCAACTCTTTAATTTTATATTCCACTAGCTATCCGTCCCGTACCGTACCCATGTGAAAAAAATATGACATTTTGTTGCAGTCGTTCTGATAGCTATGCGCGTATCTACAGTACATATTTTGTTGGCAATTTTTATTTTTTTTGTGCTAACTGATAGGTTCTATTATAATACTCACACTTCTTTCCATTCTCTCAGTATCTCCTGTGTTTTTTTGATATCTTGCGTATTAAAATTTTCAACCCAATCAGTCAAGCCCGCTTTCTTGTTGTCCTCCACCATCTGGTTTCCAGGCACCCACAGCAAAGTAACTCTGTTGTTTGCACCCAGGCATTCTAGGCATTCAATACAGCTCCATAAAAGCTTGGAATTCATCTTGTTGGAGCTCAGTGCTTCAAGAGTTGCCTGACTGTCTGATACAATACTGATGTTTGTGTTTACTAGATGTATATTCGTCAACTCTCTAGAGCACGATTCAATTGCGAAGACCTTCGCCTGAAAGATTGAAGCCTTCTAACCAAGATTGACAGAGATTTCCGTCTTCGGTTTTCTGCTGAACACACCGGCTCCATCTCCAAGAAGGGTTTTCGAACCATCTGTGTATATTACGTGTTCGGCGAGGTGTTCGGTCTCTGGGAATTGGCCTGATCTACTTACCCACTCGTCTCTCTTCGGGAAGAGGACTTTGAAAGACTTTTTCACCTGTGTCTGAGTAGTCAACATATCGGTAACCATTCCTAGAGTTTGGTGATTTTTTATTTCATACAGTATCCCGGAGTGATCCAGCAGTCGCCCTCCTCTATTTGATTGTCCAGTGACAGGAATATGTAGGAAACCATCCTGGCTTCCCTCTCTGAGAAAATGTGGAAGTGACTGAAGTTCAGGAGGTTTTCCATCGCTGCCGTTGGAGTAGAGGACATCGGCCCTGCAATGGCCAGGCATGCCAGGTGCTGAAGACCAGCCAGCTTTGCCCTGGCTGTCCCTTGCAGACCTTCAGTCCACCAGAATACCGAGCCATACGTGACCATTGGTTCCACCATTATTTGGTAAATCCAGTAAATCTGTTTGGGGTTCGTTCCCCGTGATTTGCCGCATACTCTTATGAGGTTCCAGAGTAAGAATCTGGATTCGTTGATAGTTTTTGCCATGTGGGCGTTCCAGGTGAGTCTTTTATCTAGGGCTGGGTGACCCCTAGATATTATACTTCCGCCGCAAGCGGAATGCTCACTCCATATAGGACAGGCTGTCGAAGCTTATATAGCTTTTGCCTCCTGGTAAAAGGTACGTTTACAGTTTACCGGGGGTTCACAGAAATCTGATCCCTCTCGCATCATCTGTACACAATATTAAGGGCTTCTTGTAGGCCGTTTGAAATCGTCGCTTCAAATTTCACTCTTACTATTAGGACTAGATCATCTGCATAGCTCTAGATGCCCATATTGGCCCTCCTTATCTTGGACACAGTGATGCATAGATTTGCTCGTTTGGAGAAGACTCAGATTTTGTTACTTCTTTGCTACGTGTAATCAGAAATGGAAAAATATTAGTGTCTGCCACTGGTTATGTCCCATCCTCTTGATCAAAGTAAAGGCACACACGATTAGGTATGATTGATTTTCGGTTTCACTTTCCACCGTTCCACCGATTTTCTGCAGTCTTGAACATCTTTCATTATCAGTCTACTGTAATTGATACATCTACATTCACGGATCAATGGATACGTTTCTCATTCTCATCTTCTCCAAATATATTCGATGAATAGGTGAATTGCGATACTCGCTTCAAGTGAATGCAACTATTTTTCTTCAGAATTAACACACCAAATCTGGCAGGATCTGATTCAGAAAATAAAACTATGATGAAACAATACAAAACAGTTTGTGAGTTTGAAATTCTATTCCAAATGTTTTGTGGACTATAATTTCTATACAAAAACTCGGATTTTTATAACTGGCAATGACATAGAGTTCAGGACCCAATCTCGACTATCATTCCATTACGAACAACACTGTAAGCACATCTTTTCATAGCCAATCTGGAAAAGCAAATCTATATAAATGCTAGGTATTTCCATCAGCAATACTTTTTCGTGGGAGAATCATGTCAGATCCATCGCGAAAGCTCCTTCATAAAAACTCGGATTTTTGTCCTTGCGAGAATCTACTTTACACCACAACAGCTTCTCATGCTACACAAAGCACATATTATACAGCCTGTTCTAGAATACTGTTCCCACATATGGAGTTCAGCACCCACATATATCCGCTGATGCTGTTAGATCCCTTTCAGAGAAGAGCCATTCGCCTGGTGGGCGATGCCACTCTCACCAATTCGTTGTCATTATTGGAACACCGTAGAATAGTCGGCGACCTTTCACTTTTCTATAGATAATTTTACGGGAAATGTTCTTCAGAAACGCTCCGCGTAGTTCGTGCGTGCGGAAAAGTATTACTTTCCAGTTTCCACACTTGTTTGATAAATATCCATTTCGATTTCACAGATCTGAACGTGTTGTTGCGAATTTTAGTTCTTGATAATATATTCTTTCAATCTCTACGAAATTTCTGTAATATTAAAAGAAATGGAAGTTCCACAAAATATTAAACTTCCCCCCCCCCTCACGATAAATCCAAGATGCGCTACTGTTATGAGGCATTTAACATTCAATGCTGACGCTCTGGAAATAAATCTCGGCTCCAGCAAAATGTCTATCTATTTCAGATTTGAAGAAGGGCTGTATACCTGCCACTCCTGCCAGTATTATACCGGATTCCGTAAATAAATTTATATTGTAGGCGCTTGTCATAAATCAATAACATACGTTTATATAAAAAGATTCCGTTCGAATCGATGGCTTCTCCAAGAATTAAACGCACCACCAAAAAGTTGCCAAAAGTTTAGGAAACATTATCTTCAAAAGTACTAGTCCGATTTGGGCCTTTTTTTGTTTTGAAGAAATACATTTTCGAAAAAATTCGACTCAATATTTTGATGAAATTCAATGACTCCCTGATGTGAATGGATATCAAATATTCTAGGGACACGAATGGGATAACCTAGGGATATACCTGGCGGGATGTCCACTGGACAACCACTGCGGGACATCCCCTGGATGTCCCAATCATGTCCTTGTACCGCGGGACAATAAAGGGACGTACACACAGAAAAAAAATTTCTTCGGATGAGAAAACCCATTCTCTTGAAAATTCAATGGTATATCTGCTTTCTATTGAGCATATTCTTTTGAGTCAAGAAATCTGGTATGAAAATAGTGTCATATTATTGTAATATATGCTCAAACCAGGAATGCAATCATTCAGTTAATAAATTAATTACTTCAACTCAACCAAAACGGATTTTTCAATTCGCAGCAGCGGACTATTTTGTTTCAATAAATTTTTTGCTTGATTCAAGATTATGAGTATATATTTCTTCAAATTAAAGAATGCTCATGTCTTCGAATGATATATTCAGTTTTCTCAAATTGCAAAAACCGAATATGTTGAGGCAATAAGTAATTTTCTTGATACAAAAATATGAATGATTATTTCTTCAAATGAAGCGTTCTAATTTCATCATATTGATATTACAATTTCATCAAATCGAAGACTTCTGATAGTTCTATTCTATGCCATACTTACTTGATCCAAAAATATGAATATCAATTTTCAATATAAGTTTCAATATAAATACAACCTCAGAGTGGCATATTTGTGTATGGACCAGGTGCTCTAAGGGCAAATACCGCGCCAGTGCCAGCTATAGGAACAAGACGTGGAAATGTTGGGTTAGTGAGCTTATCAACAATGATAATAGTGATTATTCATTCCTCTCCATACTACACTGTGTTTGCCTTGATAATCTAATGAAGCTAAACAATATCGTTGTTTGAGACGAAACAACTATTGCTTGCCGTGATTATTCAAAAACAAGTTATCCATCCCGAGAATAACGAATGAAATACAGATCAAGCAAGTATTTGAATCTTGAAGGCTTCCCTGATCAAAACGAAAATACTCAACTGAGATGTTTATAATTCCAATACTTAACTATAATAAGGTGTATTTATATCTCCAGCATAGGTATGAAATGCCAAATCTGCTGAAGTCGGAAACAAATCAAGTAGGTATGCGTCTCAACCCAAATAACCAACCGTCACAATGTTGTTTATTCTTGATGACGTCCAGTTCATCCTTTTGAGTTCCTAGGAGCTGAAATTGAACTTTAGCTCCTAGGAACTAAATATGTTGCCTAGCAACATACCTATTTTTGTGTCAGTAATAGAAACGTCAATTTAAGAGCTAATTTTGGTATCAAAATGGACGACTTTTGTGTCGGTTGCAGAAAAAGAATATTTTCACAGCACGGATTATCTGTAGCATTGGCACGGCATTGATGGTTACTTCACATATTTATTTGAGTTAATTGTTTCGGTTGTAGAAAAAATTGCATGTTTCATTCGGGTCAAAAAAGTGACTTTGTGACAGACAAGTGTCACT